AGGAAGCCCGAGGCAGAGTTGCTCTGCCCCAGGCTTCCTGGAATCAGCCGCTGATCAGTTTCAGCAGCAGCTGACTTGGGACGCCTGGGTTTCTTAAGTTGAATCTGTATGTAAGTCAGAACTGGCGTCCAGATTCAGCCACTGTTGAAACTGATCAGTTTCAGCAGCGGCTGACGCCAGTTCCGACTTACATACAGATTCAACTTAAGAACAAACCTACAGTCCCTATCTTGTACATAACCCAGGGACTGCCTGTATTTCATGTTCTGTTAGCTGCCACATGCCTCAGAAATTGGATGCATGCAATACTTTTTGTTACACACTTGAAAGTCACTGCATTTTTCTTGTTTCTTCATTCCCCGTTGTTATTTCTTAATTAGCAAATACTCTGGTGATTATAATAAAGGTTAAGTCTACACTGCAGGGTTTTTGTACAAGAACGGCTATTCTTGCACAAAACCTTGCAGAGCGTCTACACTCCATGCATGTTCTTGCGCAAGTAAATTCACAGTAAAGCATCGGAAAACAGGGCTTCTTGCACAGGAGTTATTCCTCTCCCCACGAGGCAGTAGGGACAGGCAACAGGAGTTTCTTGTGCAAGAAAGTCCTATGGCTAAAATGGCCATCAGAGCTTTCTTGTGCAAGAGAGTGTCCATACTGCCATGGGTGCTCTTGCACAAAAGCATATCTCTTGCACAAAAGCACATGGCAGTGCTCTTGTGCAAGACCTTTTGCATAAGAACTCTTGCACAAAACAGTTCTTGTGCAAGACGCCTGCAGTGTAGACATAGCTAAAGTGTTTCTACTATTCTATAATCTTCATTAACTTCCTCTCTGATTTGAAAATTCTATCGGAATAAAAAAGTGGTCTTCTAGGGTAGAAATGGTAAAACTGCCACTAGAGACCCTGTTTCTCCCTGAAATGCTGGCTAGAAAGGTAAGGGTTAAACTAACAAGATGATCCAAAAACAATTTGACAAATATTAAATCATGCCTAGTTGCACCCTCTGTTACATACCAGAGATTGTATTTAATATAATGCTCCCAAAAAGAAGAACATTGCTGTTTATTAGATACAAAAACAAAAACAAAAAATATTTTCAGTTGCACTTTACCTCATTCATTCTTCCATGCTCTGTGGATAAAATAACACCACCTACTACTTAAGTAGCAATGTATGGGGGAGATTTCCATTGCCCCACATAGTATGGTACCTCTATGCAGTCCCCAAAACACAGGAGTTTCAAAGGAACTCCAAGTGGTCAGAGGAGAGTCCCCTGGCACAGAAACCATATGGACCCAACAAAATTGGTTCCATACAACACTTTCCCAAGGCATGGCAGAGAGGGTGAGTCAGGGTGGTATTGACAGTACACCATTCCTAGAGGTGTTTAAGTTCTGGCTTGACAAAGCCCTGGCCGGGTTGATTTAGATGGGATTGGTCCTGCCTAGAGCAGGGGGCTGGACTTGATGACCTTCTGTTGTCTCTTCCAGTTCTATGATTCTATGATAAGGGGATGGTTTGAGAACATGATCTTGGTAACTAATTGACCATTCATTATCAGTGGGAAATAGGTCAATGGAGGGATGATAGGAGTTACTATAGAGAACTTTCTGGGTGTCTGGCTGGTGAGTCTTGCCCACATGCTCAGGGTTTAGCTGATCGCCATATTGGGGTCGGGAAGGAATTTTCCTCCAGAGTAGATTGGCAGAGACCCTGGAGGTTTTTCACCTTCCTCTGTAGCATGGGGCACAGATCACAGCTGGAGGATTCTCTGCATCTTGGGGCCTTCAAAGTATTTGAAGGCTTCAGTATCTGAGGGTATGTCTACACTACCACCCTAGTTCGAACTAAGGTGGTAATGTAGGCAACCGGAGTTGCAAATGAAGCCCGGGATTTGAATTTCCCGGGCTTCATTTGCATCTTGCTGGGCGCCGCCATTTTTAAATGTCCACTAGTGCGGACTCCGTGCCGCGCGGCTACACGCAGCATGGACTAGGTAGTCCACGAAATGAGGAGTAACGGTAGTTTGGAATAGGAAGCCTAGTCCAAACTACCTAGTCCGTGCCACGTGTAGCCGCGCGGCACGGAGAACGCACTAGCAGACATTTAAAAATGGCGGCGCCCGGCAAGATGCAAATGAAGCCCGGGAAATTCAAATCCCGGGCTTCATTTGCAACTCTGGTTGCCTACATTACCACCCTAGTTCGAACTAGGGTGGTAGTGTAGACATACCCTGAGACATAGGTGAGAGGATTATTCTAAGAGGGGTGGGTGAGATTCTGTGGCCTGCACTGTGCAGGGGTCAGACTAGATGATCATAATGGTCCCTTCTGACCTTAAAGTCTATGAGTCTATGAGTACAATGTCAGACTCTATATTTTCAAACTAGAAGAGAGACAAATTAGTAATTTATTACAAATGATTTCTTTCCTTTGCTTTTCTCTTTCTGTGTACTGTTTCTAAATGGAAGCACACTACGCTTAAATGCTTTACCGAATCAGGTCCTTAGAAAAGAGCACTAGAAAAGAAGAGGCCTATTTCGTAAGTGTCCCTCTCCAGTGGTAGCTTACTTTATGAACCATTTAACACTAGATTGGGAGCTGTCCTTCTCTCTGCAGTAGTGTGGAATCAGCAGATACATTGCTTCTTCTAACTGGCAATAGCTCAGTCCTCCCTGAACAGTAGTAATATTTGACACTGTTATAGTACTTTACGTCTTCAAAACACTGGGCAAACATTAGCTAATTAAGTCTAACAACACCTTTGTAGTGTAGGGAGAGGAAATCATCAATACCTAACACATTGCTCTGCACAATAAGACCATAGTTTCTGTGCAACCCCATTAAAATCAAGTGTTGAACGACTTGTAGGATCAAGGCCTGAATTTGAATTCTTAATCAAATTCAAGTCAAATTGCGGGCAAAGATTTGGGAAGTCTGAATCCATGCCTAGTTCTCAGCAAAGGTAAGTCCAAAAAGATCTCCCTTCCCCTATTTCTTTCAGACGATAAGCTCTTCAGAGACTCAGGGACTGAGTCCTATGTTTCTACAGAACCTTGCACATTTTGGTAATACCTGCAATAATAATAATAATAATAACAAATAATAAATTAATAATTCCAACTGGGAATAAGAAAAATGAGTAGACCAAACTAGGTATGAGTAGATGAGTTAAATGGAGTGGACATATAAATTGTGCCCCTTACACTTGCAGCTAACTGCCCTTTATATTTTACTGTTGAACTCTGTGCTAGTGCTCTTACCTGGGATAAGTGGTGGGATGTGTATTGCAGGTGTATCCTTTCTCCTGGGTCTTTTTTGTTCCTGCTCAGTGATCTGAGAGACTGAAGTCACTTTATCCTTCTGTGTTTTTTCTGCAACGTCACACCTTTTAATAAAATGTTCTGAAAAGTCTGAGAGGATGCCTGTGGGAAACACGACACAATAAATGTTACTTGAGCCTCATTTACACTGATAAAAATTGCACCCACTGAACTTAATGTACTCAGGGTATGATTATACTACAGTGGCAGATCTATGGTGCTAGAGCTGTTCCCTTGTACAGGTTGAACCCCTCTAGTTCAGCTCTGTCTGGTCCAGCAACATCCGTGGTCTGGCATGATTTCAGATAGCCAGGTGTCCACTTACTATGGGTGTGACCAAGTTTCCCACAGCCCCTTAATATTTGTTCACAGCTACCAGCCCTGGCTCTTAGTGTTCTGTGCTGTTATTTAGCTCTAATTTATCCCTAAATGTCTTTTAAGAGCCCAGTAAGCAGTGGAAGTGGTAGTAATATTGCTAGACAATATTGACCTCTCATGGTTCAGCACATCCTCTAATTCAGCTCCAGTCAGGTTCTAAGGGTGCCAGATTAGAGAGATTCAACCAATGGTGGCATAGTGTAGCCGCTTGTTACAGTGAGGGAAGGGATTTTTCCATTAATGTAGTTAATCTCCCTCCTCAAGAGGCGATATCTACGTTGATGAAAGAATTCTTCTGTTGACCTAGCAGTGTCTACCTCCAGCCTTAATCAGCTTAACTATATGTCTCTGGGGTGTAAATTTTTAATACAGAGTGCTTTTGAGAATACTGTTCTCCACCCTGCCATAGGTAGGCACACAGAGATGTGAAAGAATTTAGGGCATTAACATTTATATTTAATTCCTAGTGAATACAGTTAACCCACAAATCACCAGAAGTTTATCAAACTTCACTACTACTATGTTACATTACCTGGTATAGGTGGTGGGGTGTGTAAGGCAGGTGTATCTTTTCTCCTTGGCTTTTTCTGCTCAAGTTCAGTGTTCTGGGAAGCCTGGATATTTTTGCCCTTTCTTGATTTGTTTTTGAGGTCACAATTCTTAATCAGCTGTTCTGACAGATCATCTGCATGGAAAAAATAAAGAATACTTAGGTGAGGGAAAATAATGGATAACAGAATTAAAAGAAGGGTTCACTTTAATAACAGTACTTCCACCCTACTTGGTCAAAACACTTCATGGAAATTCACCTCTGCACGAGGCCATTACAAAGGCCTTAATACTACTAAAACAGGGGATAAGTGAGACTTCAGTGCCTTGAGTTGGCCTTAGGCAATTAAACCTCACAGTGCCTTTGTGAAGAAGGAAAGAATTATTCCCATTTGATAGATAGGGTGACACAGGTGATAAAGCTAATATTTTCAATTTTAGATGCCATATTTAGATACCTATGTTAAAGTGACTATTATCACTAGTGTAAGGGTAGAGAAATAGATTTTTGTGTTGGGTTAGCAAATCTTCCTGACACATTTGGAGATTTGGAATAAAGTAATAGCATGTGAAGTAGGGGCAAGGAACATGAATATGAAAAGGCATTCTATCAAAGTCTCGAATGCCTCATATTTAGAAGTGTGTATAAGAGATGCCTCTGGTACTCCAAGTGCAAAATTTTATGTAAAAAGTCAGTGCTAGAAAGGACATGGATTGAAAATAAAGGGGAAAAATTAAAATTCTATCTAAAAATAAACAAAAGGAATATCTGAAATCTTTTACTGAAATTGAAAATAGAATGTGAGTGTAGGCAGTGCTAAGATATATTTTAGTTTCCAATTTATTATTGTATAATCGCTGAAAACACTTCCCTTTCTCTATCATGGAAATGGACGATGATTCTTTCCCCTTTCCTCACTTTTAATAATTTCCTTCCAGAGCTTCAGCTCATATTTTCATGCAGGGAAGACAACCTTTTTCTGTCCATCTAGCATCAGATGTGTTACCAGAAGGCACAGTCTATCGGGTTTCTCAGAGGATCCGTTGTACTTCTTAAAAAGCCAATGGACAGTACTTAATGATGTAACAAAGATATTTTCTCTCATTACAAGTCACTGACATCACCTTAATAACACTTACCTAAGCGGTTGCAATGTGAGTCTCGCTTGTCCAATCTGTCCTCTGGAATATCAAGTGGCTGCATGCACTCTGTTGACATCATTGAAAAGGTTTTCTCTCGAAGCTACAACTGAAAAAAGAAGCATCCCATAAAACAGATATATTCATAGTCTGTACCAAATCAGTTCCATCCATCTATCCCAGGGAAATTCCTGTTTTCAAAGTGATTTTTGCCACATAGCCACTGCTGGCTTTGTTGATATTGGAGTGCTTGTGAGCTGTATGGGCTTATTGCCCTCTGACCCCCTTGCACTTCCACTGATTGAATGCAAAACTGCAGATTCTAAAGCGACATCTGCCAGCCTAAAAAAGAGCAGGCCAGCTGGGAGGGGTTGTAACCCCTTGAGGAACCTATTGAAAGGGACACACTAAGCTGAAAAGCTAATATGTGCGTTGAAAGTAGTTCCAGGTTCTTTACCAATCTGAGTTCCCATGCAGCTTGTTGCTGGTGTTACTGTTATTTATTTAGAGCTCACACCTAAGGACCTGAGCACGACTGAATAAGGCACAGGAAATATATATTATTTTTTAGGGAGGGGATTTGGTGATTTTACAATAACATTTTCCTATTTTTACAAAAGATTTTCTTATTTACGTTGCTGCATTGCTAAATGGTCCAAGACAAACACACCAAAAAAGAGGCAACCTTTTTGACCAAGACCCACTGGACTACTAAACTCCTTCAAGTATATATACAGATGTTCCAGATGTAGCCTTTTACCACAAAGCAAACATCCACACATTACACAAAAAGCCTTCACCCTGCTGGCACTAACTGATTACTTTAATTGCTAAAATTGAAAGGTTTTAATTCTGTATTGAAAATCACCTTCAACTGAAGGTAGTTTAATCCAGTTTTCAACTATATAGAGCAAAAAGAAAGCAGTTTAAATCTAAATTTGGTTTTGCTCATGTTTTAATTTTAGATCATTGAAAGGCTATGGTTTACGATTAGATCTAACTGTGCTACTCACGATTTCTGCTCAAAATGATGGCAATAATGTGAAGTCAACTGATACCGTGAAATTTTAACAATCCTGGGCTGAAATCTCATGAGAAAAACCTACTTTTGTGAGGTTTTCACTACATTTGAAACAACATTTTAAAAAACTAGGCCTCAGTCACATTTTGATTGTGATGTGGGACTGAAACTGTAGGAAGCATTTTGGATTCATAGAGGGTGGCTTGGTGTGGGTGTGGTGAGAGAGAGAAATATGAATGGCTCTTCAAATGAAATGTGAAGGTTTGGAGATATGAAGTTTTATTACCAGCCTATTGCTTCTTTTTATTAATGTTATTAGTGCCATTGCTTCAAGACAAAAGGGCACCTGCATTGTTTAATCAGTAACTAAAATAAATTTGCTTACAGAGCAGTTACATTGCAAAATAAGTGTAACTTAGGTTATTTGGAGTCTAGTTTTCAAAGTGTGTTATGTACAACTGTCTGTGTCCATCTCCCTCAAGTACTTGCAAAATAATGTTTCTGCACAGAGTTGTCCATCTAAATGGCCAATGTGCATGCTGAATTCTCCTATTTTTATACTTAACTGCACAGACCCATCTTTGAAAATCATGCCCCTAAGTTCTATCAAAATTCTAAATGCCTAAAACTAGCTTTTTTCTTTTACTCTAACTGCATGAAGATTTAAAAGTAGTATAAGTAATAAATGATTATTTATTTGCCAGGTGATACACTGACAAGTCTAGTCTTAGCTATATGAGTACAGTTGTAATGTCTGTTAGTATTAACAGAAGCTCACTATGTAACTGCTGCTGAAATTGCAGATGATAAAAGACCTTAGTGTTTTGCATTGGGGAAGGGGTGTAAGTTATTGAAATTTTTATTGCAAGTATTTCCTATGTAGGGCAGATTTATAAAATATATATTGCATCCTTGCACACTTTATTCAGGGTGTGCCTTCTCATGAATCGGTATAATGCACATTTTTGTACATAAGCACCTGGATATTCTACTCACCGGGGGTGATCTGATCCTATAAAGCAATGTGCTCACCATGACAATAAGAGCAACACTCCAGCATATATTATATGAGTAATCACTGAAAAGACCTTTGAAATATTGTCATGGATGGTGCATAAATAAAAGCTATTGAGAAAACTCTTTTCTTATATGGTGATAAGTAATGCAGATTTAATATGAATATTTATTCTGATAGTTAATAAAAATGTTACCGTACTGTTACAATGCAAGGTGTTTACATTTCTTCTGAAACCTGTGCACTGAATTACAAAAGTTCACAATAATTATATTGGCAAGTGTATATTTTATAGTGTTTTAGAAGGAAAAGGCTATTGAGTAATAACCTAAAATATTTTCCTTCCTGTCTCATCTGAGACAAGGACAAGGACTTCTTGTGGAGAGGGCTGAGTGCAAATTGTTTTGTTGTTTCTTTTTCCCTTCTTGGCAATCAAATTTCAATGAAAAGAAAAGCAGGGTGAGAGAGCTTAATGACCTGACCCCTTCTTACAGGAGTTGTCCCTTTGAGTCAAATCTTGCTTCCACTGAAGCCAATGGAAAAATTTTCATTGATTTCCATGAGACCAGAATCAGATTCTCATATGTTGACAGGGCTGTTTGTGTGAGGAAGAGCTGCCAGCCAGGGCCCTACATTTAGAGGCTGCATTGCAAGTGTGCAAGAATGTGCTTATGTGCATGTGAAAGAGCAGAGCTTTTCTATCTGCGATCAATGGGCTGCAAGCTGTGACTATGAATATTTGATAGTTTGTTGCCCAGTGGGTGAAAGGCTTCACTGGCCCAGAAGCAGAGCCTGAATCACATCATGGGCAGGTCTACACTGAAGAGCTGCATCAGTGTAGTTGTGCTGTAGTGTATTAGTGAAGATGCTCTTATGCTGATGGGAGAGCTTCTTCCACAGGCGAATTTAGGGCAAGTCTACACTAGAATCGCTACAGTGGTGCAGTTGTCCCAGTGTAGCTGTGCTGCTGTAGTTCTATTAGTGCAGAGAATGTATGCTGATAGGAAAGAGTTCTCCTGTCAGAAGGGCAGCTGACTGCTTTCACAGGGCTCTAGGCATGAAGAGGAGGCTCTCTCCAGGCCACCAGAAGCGCCAGGGTCTCAGAGTGATGTACATTTTATCTGTCTATATATTTTAGAAATATGGGTGTCTGTCTGTCAGGTTCTTCAACTCCTCCTAAATGATAAAAGCTAGGACCACCAAATTTGGTAGACAGCTCCCTTATTCTAACTTAAAGCAAGGTCAGGGTTTGGTTAGGGCACAATGGGATGTGTTTGAAATTCAATTTTCTCTCATAAAATGGAAAGGGAGGGGTCTGGTGGGAGGGAGTTATACTGTGGAATGACCACAGGAAGGCGGCAAGTGCCCCAGCAGGAAGCCACTGCCTGGCATCAGCCAACATCCTATCCTGCCATGGGGAGCAGCTGCCGGATGCTGTACAGCCCTTGCTGCTCCCAGGCCAACCCTGGGGAGCACCAAAGGGAGGCCCATGCTGCCCCCTACCCCATTTTTGGTCTGGGTCCATGAAACAGTGGTGAGAAGCCTGCACCCTCCCACTGGACCACTCCCAGGATGAAGCTGGCAGCTGAGGTGCATGGCCCCTCCTCTGTCTAGCACTGGGAAGAAGCCATCAGCTTGGGTGCACAGCTCCGAGAAGCCAGCTGCCAGGGTGCATGGCCCCACCCCTGCCCAGGCCATATGCAGGCAACTCCAGGTAAATCTTTAGTACTGATATGTATGTAGAGTAGATCTGGTCTGTGACTTCTAGAACCATAATCTGGTACTTTTTCATACCAAGAGGGAAATAAGACATTCCAGTCTTTTCGTTAGTGCCTTCTCCTCTCTGTGGATGCTGAGATACTGACATCTGCATGGAGAAGTGGTGGTAGGCAAACTTCCAAGCCCCGCTTCCCTGCTGGCAGCTCTTCTCCCCTGCCACCAATCCTTTATTGGCTCTTACAATGTGGAGGGAATCGCTTTAGTTCCCTCTATGGGAAAGCAAGAGGCCTTATGATTCAGCCCTAATGTAAGGGGACTGTTACCCCTTACTAAAACTCTGTGGGAGTTTTTTGGTTTATCAGCTTCAGAAGGGGAAGGGTTCACGAGACTGACAGACCCCAGAGACAATGGAAAGCAATCAACACTCCAGCTCAGCCTGACTGACAGGTTGTAAGTGGGGATTGTTCTGGCTCTGTCTCTGAACAAACAAAATGCAGGACAACGTAGCACTTTAAAGACTAACAAGATGGTTTATTAGATGATGAGCTTTCGTGGGCCAGACCCACTTCCTCAGATCAAATAGTGGAAGAAAGTAGTCACAACCATATATACCAAAGGATACAATTTAAAATTTTTTTTTTTAAATTGTATCCTTTGGTATATATGGTTGTGACTACTTTCTTCCACTATTTGATCTGAGGAAGTGGGTCTGGCCCACGAAAGCTCATCATCTAATAAACCATCTTGTTAGTCTTTAAAGTGCTACGTTGTCCTGCATTTTGCTTCAACTACCCCAGACTAACACGGCTACATTTCTATCACTATCTGAACAAACAAGCTGTGTGCAGAAGAGGTCCTGCAAAGACAGAGAGCTGAAAGAGGAGTACAAGAAGAAGTCCTGCAGCGACAGAACCATACACAGACAGGCCAAGCAGTGCAGACCCTGTGTTGAGCAGCAGACTGGCAGGGCTCAGAAAGCCAAAAGGAACAGAGAAACAACACAAGGAGCTGGAACTGGCCAAGCAGCACAGCCTGCAGCTGGATGTGGTGAGCTACTCTGGACTGGGAGAGGGGTCTGGCCACTTTGAAACTGAGGCTCAGATCCTTTCGCTGGTTCATTTCACCGGGGTGTATAGAAGCCAGGAAAGTTCCCCACAGGAGCGGGACCATTCCCCCGCTTACACTAAGAAAGAGCCAATAGCTCATTTTGTCCCTTCTCTGCACCCTCTGATGCCATTTACCTCTGTGCAAAGTGGGTATAAAATGCTATCACTCCGGTACAATGCTACCATTCTGGTATGCCTACCATGCACTCACCTGGCACAACTGAAAACGACTGTTCGAAGGGAAAGCCTGTGGAGAATGGCCCATTTGCCTGTGGTCAGAAGTCAGTATTTGATTTAGCTACTAGAGAGTATGCTCTTTTTTTTGTGCACCCCAATTATATTCTGCCACCAACATAAGTAAGTCCTCCAATAGTTTTTTGAATTAAGCCCAGTAAGATTAGAAAATGTATTCCATACACAAGGAGACTATTTGTTTTTCAAGAGGTCTCAAAGTAAAGTTCTTCACTTGCAGTTTGATCACCATGATTTTATACCAACTCATTAGAATAACTTGCTTTTACTTGAGCCCGGATAACATTTTACAAAGTTTCTATTCCAGAGTTAAAAATTTCATTTTAACTCTAGATTGTTTTAAAAAAATCCCACTAACGTAGTCTGATTTTGTTTTTATAAAGTAGCCTTAAAACGGACCGTCTCTCTGACACATAATACTGCATGTGTTTAAAATCCTGACTACATTCTTTGTCCACCCAAAACTCTGACTAATAACTCCCTGTCTTGCCCTTATCCCACAAAATTGATTTTGAACAGTCTGCCAAGTCCACAGAGAGATTTTCACTGACTTCAATGGGATTTGAATCAGACCCTGTCATAGCTAGCAGATAAACTTGATTCAGCAGATCAAAAGCAGAATAAAATTTGAGTTTCTGACAAAAAAAATTGCTGTTCTTGGTGATGACTAAATATGCAAAACCTTGCCTAATTAATTCCTCTAGGAGCAAAACATACCCTACACATGTCATTTCTTTTAGTTGGATAAAATCCTGATAATCTTTCATAGTCTGTCAATTTGCACAATTTGTTCATGAACTAATGCTGCAATTAAAATATATTGACACATTTGTCTGTGTAGCACTTCATCCTCCACCCCAGCTTTCCCATTCACAGCCCAGTCCACCTCCAACTTTCACCAGATGGTATCATACATTTGCTCCTTCTAATTTCTATCCTGTGGAGTCCTGAACTTTACTGCACGCTCAGCACCAGTGTAGATTACACAGTCTACAGAAGTGCAACTGGAAAATATCAAATGACTGTAACTAACTTGGTCCCGGAGACTGAAAAAAAAATTGTTTCTCCAGCAAAGGTAAACTGCTGTACTTACCGATGACTGAAAGGCACTGGGATAGGCGTGATACAGGGTGAGCACTCACTGAAGCAGGAACTTTCTTCGCTGCTGCTGCTGTTGTGTCCTCTTGCACTCCTTATCTAGGGAGCAGCTGTGGCTGTTGCTATGGTAATGCTTTGTGTTTCAAGAGTGCTCTGGGGAGGGGGAAAAAAATAACCTTTAGCCGGCACACTTAACAGATTTTTTGATGATGTGATGGTTCCTGCTTTTTTTATTGGAATGAAGGAAAATAATAAATTCTACAGGCATTAAAAAAAAACTTTTAAGGTTAAACAACCTTTTATGCCAGAGATCCAAGAAAACAATCCAAACATTTTGATGGAGGAATGAAAAGAATTAAACAGGGGATGGTAAATCTTAAAGTGTCTTAAAATCAGGGACACAGCAGCTATGGCAAGAGTCAATGAGGAAGCAGACGGGAGAGTGCTAGACTGTTGCTGGGCGAAATATGTGTTGGATGAAAAAGGTGCAAGGAGGCAGGACCATAAACATTAAAAGTCTCCAGCAGTGAGGTTTAGCTGAGGATTGTGGTATTTGTGTTTATATGGCCTTGACTCGTTACACAAACTTGGCACACTGATGCCATTTAAGGGGCCAGGCAGGGAATCTTCTGTGGTTGTTGTATTCTTGGCAGCAGCACCCAGTCTGCTATTTTAGCCCATTGCTTTAGGTGGGGCTGTTATTTGGAAAGAGAAAAATATATAAACATGCCTAATCTGTGCAAGACGAAGCACTCTGCTCAGTTGATGTTGTTATGAATTGCACCTATTTCAGCATTTATCCCTGTATAAACGTCTTCTCCCAGCCCCTTTCATTAAAGCATTCTATACAACTGTGATGGTTGATAGTTGTGTTAGCACACTTGGATTGCCATTCCCGTGATGTCTCTGCGACATTGCAACTATGGCTCAGCTTAGTCTTGTTTTCTTTCATAATAGAGTGTGCATCAAGACCCTAAACATGTTCAGAGTAGCTCCCAATCCTGCAATTAACTGACCATGCTCGTTATCTGTGAAATTCAGGTCTAGTTCCGCAAAGTGTTGAACATTTGTAATTCTCTAAGGGTTTCTTTCTGCCTCCATTTGAGATTCTGCCCCCATTTGAGATGAGATTTCCTAGTAACTTCAGTAGGAGAGACAGACATTTATCCTATGATGAAGGGTGACAACTCTCAAAAATATCTACATGTCTGAGGATCCTAAAGTCCATTTTTAAAAGGGACTTATGCACTCAGGAGCTTAAGTCTCACAGAAAATTAATGGGACTTAAATGCCTACGTTACTTCTGAAAATGGGATGCAAGTTCTCACATAGACCTCTTTGGAGATTTTTCAACTAAACATTTTTTGTCAAAAAATGCTAATTGGTCTAATCCAATACTGTGCACAGAAAGGAGTCAGTTTTGATGAATTTTCTATTACAACATTTTTGAAACGTCATATTTTGACCTTTTTTAAATGGAAACAATTTCTGGTTTTCATGTTAGAATGACATCAACTAAGTAAATTTATAGTTGCGTGGTTTCAAGGGCATTGTCAAAAAAATTATAAATAACCTGAACTGACATTTATGGATTTTAAATTTTTTTCCTAAGATGTCAACTTTTGGTCTCACTTCAGGATAGGAAAATATTTGGAAAATCACAACAGTTCTTCCTGCTCACATCAACACTCAATTCATTTAAATACTCTTGAAAATGTAATTCAAAACCTTCAAGAATGGTGGGGGCAAGATTTATAGGCAACCTGGAGACCTAAAAAGGCAAGCCAACTATGAAGCGTAAGGGAAAACTGAGTGTATAATAAACCTCTCTCCAGGTTGTCCTCACTATAAGTCCAAGATACAATCCAAAAAACTTGGACTTATAGCAAAACAAGTTAAAGTGGAGAATTTTTTTCCTGTGACTGACTTCCATTTACGCAAATTGGGGGAGAGAGTTGCGTGACTTAAGTGCGGGGAATGGGATGGCTTATAATACATCAGTCCCTACAAGAGTCAACAACTTTAGTGCTGAACGGATGTATACTGGGACAACATATAGTGGGGGATGTCCTGTAGTACATTTGCTATTTGGTTTTGGCTTGACTTGTAATTTAAGGGGGAAATTTTCTAAGGCATAAAGGGTAGTTGGATTCTGACTCCCATTTACTTCCAAAGGAATTGGGCATCTACTTGCTCTTTGTCCTTTGGAAATGTCCTTTATAAAGAAATACTGACTTCCTGAAACTTCCCCCAGAACCAAACAGTAAGACATAGACTGATTTATTAAAGGCATCCTGGTGCCAGTAGGGGTGTTTGTCTTCTTCATAGTAGATATCTACTCTGTTTTTGTAATGTAGGCACACCTATCCATTGACTACTGCTGTCATATATAAGGAATGGCATGTTAATATATTGCCATTTATAGCAAAACATTATAAAAACTTTCCCAAACATAATCTTGTTTGGAGTGAATGAATTTTGCCTAATTTTCAATCTGCTCCAGCTCAAGGCTAGATTTTGATCTCATTTAAACCAGTGCTAACCCAGGCTACGTCTAGACTGCAGGCTTCTTTCGGAAGAAGCTTTTCCAGAAGAGATCTTTTGAAAAAACTTCTTCCGAAAGAGATCATCCACACTGCCAAAGTGCATCGAAAAAACAATCTGCTTTTTTGAAAGATAGCGTCCACCCTGAATGGACACTATCTCGCATTTAAAGCTGTGATTACTATGGATGGAGTGGCCACCAGGGCACCTGTACTTTTTCCTCTTTCCTCTTCTTTCAAAAGAACTTCCTCTTCCCTGTCCACACACGCCTTTTTCTGAAAGAGCTCTTTCGAAAAAAAGCCTTCTTCCTCGTAGAAAGAGGTTTACCAATGTTGGAAAAACCCCTCTGTTCTTTCAATTTGTTTTCAAAAGAGTGTGATTGCAGTGTGGACATAAGTGATGCTTTTTTGGAAAAATGGCAGTTTTTTCCAAAAAACTCTGTAGTGTAGACATAGCCCCAGAGTAACTCCTCTGAAGCCGTTGGATATGTACTGATGGAATAAGAATCTGCTTCTTAAAGACTTGTAGGCTCATGTTTGCTAAAAGGAAACTATGAATAAAGAAATCAGTAGAATGTGGAGAAGAAAGAATAATTATAATGGGAAAAAATAGAAAAGTGATCCAAAATATGCCGTCAGACTTGATTTAATGGGCTTGTGGCCGGTGTGAATGATAGCAGAATTTGGACCAGCTGATACTTTTGGTTGTGTATATATATGGCATCCACTTTTGCCAGTGTAGCTTGTTTGGTAGAATAAATATTATTAACTATGGGAGGGAGTTAGGGGGGTGGGATATGTTTGTTTTTGGCTAGAGCCAGCCTTACATTAAATTGAATAACCTGTGAGAGGGGAAAATGCTTTGGATTAACAAAAATGAGAGTCATCAACTCACCCTAGAGATGTTAGCCCTGTAAATGCATGAAATAGCTTATGAGGGCAGCAAAACCTTCAGTTCCAGGAGGCCTTGTAAAATGTGGTAGTCTCTGTTTTCTTTTTCTCCACCCTCTCTCCCCATGCCATGCATCACACATTAATTACTGAAATAGTGTTACTGGGATGGATTGCTGTGCGAGTTCATTCTTAAATATGATGTCTCTTTTATAGATATTGTGGTCTGGAAAGAATGTAATGAATGCAGAGATGGCTATGGGGCTTGCTGATATGGGCAGTGAATATTACCTATAGGTGAGAGGACAATGTTCACCTATGGGAAACATGAGGACATGGGAAACATGAGGAGCAGTCTGTTGAGGAGAAGGAGTAGATGGTATGTATGGGGATGAGGGAACAATACATTATGGAGAGTTAAAGATTAGTTTAATCCATGGTGTACCTATCCATAGAAATCATAACTATGAAATGCCCTCTACAAAGAGATGAGGAAAATTGAGAACATCACTGCCATGATGTATAAAATAGACCCATTTTAAAGTATCATAACAGTTACTCCATAATTCCTCAAATGTAAAGAGCCCTGCATGGACACAACATTTTGTATCTGCCTCCACATCTGTATCCACAAAAATGATGCCTGTGGATTTTTAGGGCTCTACAAATGTACTGCTGATGATTATGAAGGGGATTTTTTTAAAGCAGTCTTCGTTGTAGGAAAAAAGGAAGCGGAACGTTTCAATTTGTCTGTCTGGGCCTGAGGAGAAGGGTGGTACTTGTGATTTTGACAGGCCAAATGCCAGCTCTTGTCCAGGCTGCAAGTATGAGATAAAGAATGACTAACTTGTAGCTGGAGACAAGACTAGTTCACCTTTATGTTAGTTTTGCTCAAAGCAGGTATTAGTCTGGTGTTAGTCGGGGAGCAGAATGTAGCAGGCTGGGGCAGGCTCCCCCCCCTTCCCGCCACTGTGGTGAAGCAGAGTGACCTGGCTAGAAGATAGCAGTGGAGTTCCTGCTGCCATGGTGAGTGCAAGGAGGCCCAAGCACTGCTGCCACCCTATGCCATGTCCCCCAGTAAACCCTCGGCTCATGTCTCTTGGAGGAGGGGGGATTCAAGCAAGGAGTGCAAGGGGTTGGGAGGAATGGAGCAGGGGCAGGAAGAGTTTAGGCAGGGGTGGAGCTGGTGTGGGGCTTGGGGGAAAGGATGAAGTGGGAGTAGGGTAGAAGCAGAGTGGGGGCAGGAAGAGGCAGGGCATTGCTGGGGCCTGTGGCAGAGTGGGGGTTGCCTTGGACCCAGCAGCTGGCATGTATGTAGTGTTTAGACTCCATGAAATGCTTGTAAATTGCTGCATGTGTTGTTCTCAGTTGTAATGTCATATTCTTTGCTATAAGAAAATAAGTTTTGCTCTACAACTTTGAAAATGTTTGCTGTGAACTTGTGAAACCAGGCACAGGAATCTCTTTCTCCCTCCACAGCCCATCAAAATCAGATGAGCCATCAAGGAGTATCCCAACATAAAGGATTGGTTAATGGCACTATTGCATCTGTGAAATGCTACGTGCGAGGAAACTCGTCCTGTGGACTTGGAAACTGAAGGTAGGAAATATAACAAAGCCACAGGAAAATTTTCCATCTCTCGCTGCTGTTTGACTTCTGAAAGGGCCAGAAACTCTACACTAAAACCAGAGGTTTCACTGGGACTGACACCTTGAATGGACAGATCAGACAACTCTGTCACTGTTAGGATTTAGATACTCACTCATTTGGGTGTTTGCTTGCTTAAACTTGTAAATAATTTGTTTCTTTTTCCTAGTTAATAACCCTTTTAGACAGTTTATTACAGAGTTGGCTTTGCGGCAAGATCCAGGGTACCGATTGATCTGCAGTTACTGGTCTCTTGGGAGTGGAAGGAACCTGAATATTGTGCGATTTTTGGTGCAAGTGACCATTTATTATCAAGCCCAGTTTGTCTGGGTGACAACTTAGACTAGAGAGTCTAAAGGGGGCTGTCTGTGACTCCATGGTAAAGCCTGTTAAAGTAATCCAGGAGTTCAGGTTTGTCTGACTTGGTGAAATCTAATTAGAGAGGACACCAGCATTTTGTGGTGTCTGCCCTGTTTTTGACAGTCTGCCCTGGGGTAGACACTCACAGTCATGGGCCTCTCCAGACAGCGTGACAGAGTGAACACATTAGATAGCCGAGAGGTGAACTCAGAAGGTGAGTGACGACAGGTTAGCTGCCTATTCCATTTTAGTCTGATTGTGGACCCATGAGGAGTACACACAAAACCATTACACTAACCTCAAACACATGGTCTTCCAGCCAAATAGTGACATTCCACTGAAATCTGATCAGAGGCTCTGGTAGCGCAAGTTTGATTGCAAACAGAAATCTTATCAAGGGTGTAGGACCCTGTGAGGAGGGACGGTCACAGAGCTCTGGTTGCAGCCTGAGCCCAAACATCTATGCCACACTCAAAAAGCTTCTTTGCCCACTATGGCAGATGACAGTTAAGGAGCTCCCCACTGTTCCAATAAAGGTTAGCAGGAGTGGCTTGAAAGACTGGCAGAGCATAGCTCAATCTAAAGAGGCAAGTGGAATTTTTAAATCAGCTCTTCATGACAGCCTTATTGCATGCTGTTGAGACTGAAAAGAACCACAGTAAGCTGCCAGTAGACCAGTTATGGTGAGGGCTGTGGAAGGACTATAGTCTACATTATAGGTGTTGGGCCTTGAATAAATGCAAACCATTCTGCACTCCATTCTATATGACAGAGCTAGTCTATGATAGGTTCTAAGGCCAGATAGTATAGTCTGACCTATATCATACCCTCTCAGAAGGGTAGCTGAGTTAGTCTGTAACTTTAAAAACAAAGGGAAGTCCTGTGGCATTTTACAGACTAACAAATATATAGGATCGTGAGCTTTTGTGGGTAAAACACATGTCATTAGATGAGTAGAAGTGGAAATTACAGAATCCAAGGCATATATCAGAGGGGTAGCTGTGTTAGTCTGAATCTGCAAAAGCGGCAAGGAGACCTGTGGCACCTTATAGACTAAGTCTATAAGGTGCCACAGGACTCCTCAAGGCATGTATAACAGCAAAAACAGTTATCTGTCATTTGTAGGATCCTTGTTAATGAAGCTAATTAAGTGGGCTGGATGTGTCCCATTCATAGCTGTTGACATGAAAATGTGAATGTCAAAGGCAGGGGAAATTGCCTTTGTGGTATCTTAATCCGTTAATACCTTTATTCAAGTCCAGGTTGACAGCGTCAAATTCGTATGTGAATTCCAGATCAGCAGTTTCTCTCTGTAACTGGTTAGTAAAATTCCTTTGTAGAAGAATGGCTACTTTAAAATCCATTATTGAGTGCCCAAGCAGGTTAAAATGTTCCCCTACAGGTATATGTGTGTTACCATTTCTGATGTCTGATTTGTGTCCATTTATCCTTTGGGGCAGAGACTGTCCAGTTTGACCAATGTACATGGTAGGAAGGCATTGCTGGCATTGGATGGCATATATCACATTAGAAGATGTGCAGGAGGATGAGCCCTGGATGTGGTGGCTTATGTGGTTAGGTCCTGTGATGGTGTTGCTAGTATAAATGTGTGGACAGAGATGACAACTGGGTTTGTTGCAGGGGTAGGTTCCTAGGTGAGTGTATCTGAGGTGTGGTTTGTGGCTGCTGGTAAGTATTTGCTTCAGGTTGGTGGAGGTTGTCTGTAGGCAAGGACTGGCATGTCTCCTAAGGTCTGTGAGAATAAGGGATTGTTTTCCAGGAACCTGCATCATACAGGGCATAGAATTTCATGCACTAATTGTAGAGCCCAAATACTGTTATTTAGCCCATATATCACTGTACAGACTACATATATCATGGGACCTGGCACAAGGGGTATTTGACCACCTACTTCTTCTACTCACCTCCAGCACAGATAGAGGCTGGAAATGGGCACAGCCATTGCTTTACTTCTGAGCTCTCAATATGCAGTTAACTTATCTAAGAGCAAGTCTACACTATGAAATTGTAAACCTAAGTTGCATCAAGAGTTTGAGCCTCTTTAGTCCAGCACCCTCAGGACCTGACGGTGCCAAACCAGAGAATTTGCCAAACCACAGGAGGTCAATATCGTCTAGCAGCATTGCCAACCCTTCCATTGCTTACTGGGTTCTTAGAAGACATTTTGGGGTAAATTAGAGCTAAATAACAGCACAGAACACTGAGAGCCAGGTCTAGTAGCCATAAACAAATTTTAAGAGACTGTGGGAAACTTGGCCTCACCCAGGATAAGTAGACGTCTGGCTAACTAAATCATGCCACATCACGGATACTGTTGGATCAAAGAGTGCTGGACTAGAGAGGTTCAACCTATACAGACATTGCTTTAATGAAATCGCTTTTGCATGTCCGTGCTATGCTTCCTGAATTGGTGAAGTGCATCCTCACTGGGCCCACTAGCACCATTTAACTCTTAGGGTGTGGCATTATGGAATGAAAGGCTTTTGAAAGGCAGCAACAATTGTTCCAAACAATGCAGTGTCTATACTCACCCCGTATTGAGCTAACTACATGGCTACGTCTACACTGGCCCCTTTTCCGGAAGGGGCATGTTAATTTCAGCTATCGCAATAGGGAAATCCGCCGGGGATTTAAATATCCCCCGCGGCATTTAAATAAAAATGTCCGCCGCTTTTTTCCGGCTTTTAGAAAAGCCGGAAAAGAGCGTCTACACTGGCCCCGATCCTCCGGAAAAAAAGCCCTTTTCTGGAGGATCTTATTCCTATTTTGAAGTAGGAATAAGATCCTCCGGAAAAGGGCTTTTTTTCCGGAGGATCGGGGCCAGTGTAGACGCTCTTTTCCGGCTTTTCTAAAAGCCGGAAAAAAGCAGCGGACATTTTTATTTAAATGCCGCGGGGGATATTTAAATCCCCCGCGGATTTCCCTATTACGGCTTCTGAAATTAACATGCCCCTTCCGGAAAAGGGGCCAGTGTAGACGTAGCCCATCAGTTTAAGTGCTATGCCTCTCACGAAGGTAGGGTTAAGTCAGTGTAATGGGCAAATTACATCAGTGGGAGCTACATTTTAGTGTAGATGCTTACAGAGTGAGGTTGGAGCAAACTGCCTTAGATCAACCTATCTCTGTAGTGTGGACCAGAGCTAAGCCATTACTGGGGATGCTGTGAGGACAGCCTCAAAACAATTTCCTCTAGCCTCCCAGAACAAAGGGGAAGCAGGGAGGGAACTGTGTCTCAGAGGAGTGTTTCTGAGGCATGCTGTCTTCTGCAGCCACTTCTAGGGTGAAGGAAAATATAGAGAGGGCCTAAGTCTACTGTTTTACACCTGGGCATCCTGGTTAATGTCACTGGGGATGAAAAGGTGTCACTGAGAAGAGTTTTGTCCAGGATATATATTGTGTACAAGTCATGCTTTTGTGCCAGACTCACATTCTGAAAGATTTCTCCTATCCCTGACTCAAAGCACAAGCTTCCCTTTAACTCTCTGAACAATCACCCTTCAAAATACATGACTCCAAATTTACAGGAAAAGATTCTCAAATGAGTTTGGGATTCTTAAGGCCTCGAACTCTATGATTTCCTTCCATCCCCATTTATATTTTCTTGGGTCAGTTTTTATTCTGCCTACACTTAAGGGAAGACAGATGTAAAAATCCACTACACGGCAGATGGTAATGGAAATCCATTCTCCAGAGAGATCAGGATAATGACTCTTTGCAAAGCAAAACCAGAAGACCTCTGGCCCCTGCAGCTTATGTTCTACTTCAAATGCAGAGATCTATATGATGTGGAGCCAAAGGGGAGTTCCAATCTGGTCAAGGAACTGTTGTGCCTTCCCTATTTTCTTGCCTGGAGCCCCCTCCTTGCTCCCCCCTCCTTTTGGAGTGGTTACATTCACAATGCTGTTCTCCCTTCTTCCCCCTTCCCTCTTTTGCTGGAGCAATTTCCCTGACATCCTTTTTCTGTCTTCACCTCTTTTTTTCATTTCTGTCCCTTCTTCCTAACAAGAGACTATGGTGGGATTCAGCATTGAGTTATTTTATTCTGGAGCTCTGGGCTCTTTTGGTGAAACATCCCAACTGAGATTCAGTGCAGGGTTTTCTGGTTATATTCATTGAATTCTCTATTGTTAAATAAATGTATAGACTTTTTTCATTTTTAGTTTAAAAACAAGTTTACAAAACTCCTGAGATAGTCGAATATAAAGTCTGCTTTGTTTTACCAGAGTGCAAGCCTCGAAAGCATATTGCTCATGCAGCTAATTGCATAAAACTTACATGCGTGAACATAGGAAACCACTCTGAATACCAAATGGGCTTCTCTTCCAGACTAGAGTCAAACTTCCTTACTAAACTCCAGCTTTTCCCTGGATGTGTTTTTGCTGGAAACAAAAAAAAAGGGGGGGGAGAAGAGGGTGGAGAGGGGGAGAGAGTGGTTGTAGCCCATGCATGTGTGAATCTCAGGGTTTTTGGAGAAAAAAAAAAAAAAAAAAAAAAAAGGGGGGGGGGAGAAGAGGGTGGAGAGGGGGAGAGAGTGGTTGTAGCCCATGCATGTGTGAATCTCAGCAAAGAGTACTTGAACATATGTGTTACAGAGAAAATGTTATGTTGAAAGTATTAGTGAAACCAGAGTGGATTGACACTGGACCACATTACTTTAAGCTCTTGAAACATGAAACAGAAGAAACAGGATGAGATTTTCCAAACAAACTCCCATTGAAATTCAGTGGGATTTTTTTCAGTTGTATACTTAGGCTTCTGTGAAAGCCCTAGTCCTCATGTAGTATTTGTATTATGGTAGTTCCTAAGGGTTCCATAAGAAATCAATTCCCCATTGTGCTAGTCATTGCACAGCCATCTACTAAGAGATCATCTCTGTGCTGAAGAAAGTGCAATCTAAATACACAAGACAAAATTATCATCCCTATTTTATAGATGGAAACTGAGGCACTTCTTTGTACATTTACACAGTGATTAAAATGCCCATGGCTGGCTCAGATCAGCTGATTTGGGCTTGTAGAGCTCAGATGCCAAGCTGGAAAATTGCTGTGTAGACATTTGGGCTTAGCCTGAAACCTAAGCTCTGGGATCCTGAGGGGGAAGGTCCTTACGTACTAGCCTGCACCCCAATGTTTACACTAAATTTTTCCTGGAGACCAGGCTCTGTGAGCCTGAGTCAGATGGCCTAGACCACCCATCATTCGCTTGTCCATGTGCTGACATACTCAAAGAGAAAATTATTTCTCTAAAGTCCTACAATTGCATGTTCATGAGAGCCAGGTATGGTGAGCAGCTTTCCGGTTTGAGGCCTTAGACTATAAACTCATGAGGGTAATGACATCAGACCAGAGTCATGCTACTCAACTGATGCTAATGTAGTTTCATCAGAGAGAAATTTGGCCCCTGGAATTCCAATATTGTGGCAAAGAGCTATGTGTCACTGGGATGCTATAGAAAAAATGAATAAAATGGTAATTAAAGATTGGGCAAAACCACATTTTTTTTTATTGCACCTTGAGAACTTTGGTGGTTATGGGGGGAAAATGTAAAAGAATCTGGAACCAACTCACCTCTGGTTCTGGTTTAGCAAACCTGAATTATAAGGTTTTTGTGAATTAAAAACATAGTTTTCTTGGCCCAGTTATAATAGCAGTGTACTGTTCTCCATGATACCTTAGGCCATTTACTCTGAGTTTTTTCATTGCCATTTTTACTTCTGGTTTTCCACTTCACCTGGCCTACTGGTTAAGCAATTGGGAATTTAGCCATTGACTTCAATGGGAGAAGGATCGGGTCCATCATTTCTGTTGTGCTCTGTTTAGATCCTTAGGGAAAACATTTTTTTTAAAAACCTACTACCCTGGTTTTATTTGCTGTTTCATCACACTGGTTTTAGCTCCTTTTCTAGTACCTACAGAATATTGCTCTCTTTAGACTGGGCATCTGGCAGGGCTATATAGTAGAAGTATAAACCACATGGTCTTAGCCAATTTAAAGCTGTATGAATATTAATTTTAGATGAATATTAATTTTTCAGCATTGGAGATTCTTTAACAGGTATTTCAATTGCTCAATTAAGTTGCTATAATAAGGATGACAAACATACCTAAACTGACTAATGCATCTATAATAAAGTCAGATATCTTCCAGTCCCACTTCTTGCAGCACATTTTAACAAACGAGATATGATTTTTGCTTGATTTTCTGCTCATATTGCTGAAGGTTCCTTGGGAATTTAAAGGCATAATTCTGTCCCCTCTTGTGGCCATCTTATAGTGCCCTGGCTGATAAAAGGTACCATAATGCAGGGGTCTTAGACTTCCAGCCCACAGGCCATAGCTGACCATGAGAAATTGCACAATGCGGCATGGGAGTTCCTGGAATCTAGGGACAGGGGCTATCCACTACGTCCCCCAAGAGCCACCCTTTTCCACCTCTGCCCTGCCTTATCCCTGCCCATAGCACCTCATCCCCTGAGAATGTAGCCTTAGTGATCACTGGGGGGCTTAGCAAAGGGTAGCAGCAGTGGTTGGGCCCCTCCCCCCACACTCCTCACAGTGGCAGGAGCTGCAGGAAGCATCGGGGCCTGACCTCTGCTGCTAGACCTTTCCCCCCAGTGATTATGTGGGGGAGAGGGCAGGCTGATGGCAGGAAGGGGTGCAACTTGGGGGATGGTAACAGACAGACCCCAGCCAGAACTCCCAAGCCAGATTACACAATTGCTGTGACCAGGGATGGTCCATGGGCTGGGAGTTTGAGACCCCTGCCATAAAGGGAGCAAAGAGGCCCTCTGGAAATACCTGTTGAGTAAAGGGATTCCCTTGCTGTTGTAAGGATGGCAAAGAGCTCTCTGCTACATTCCTACGCAGTCCCTGGTGTGGAGGCTACCCGGGGTGTGAGCGGGAAGGGATGCTGCTGGAGCACACTGCTCTATGCCCTGTGGGTGCAAAGTGGCCCATCAGCAGCCTAGAAAGCCCACTGTTACTTAAAGTAACTCTGGGGGGAAAGCCTGGCCATAGCAGGGTTGGCAGAGCCACACTTCATCAGCATCTGGCATAGCAGCATGCTCTGAGTGTGTCCAAATGCAGAAGGTGCAATCTCACAGTAGATTCAGTGTAGTTATATTGGCACCAGGCTGCCCCCACCCCCAAGCTAGCACCAAAGATGCTCTGCCATTCTCAGTCTTTTGCACAGAGTTTACTTCTTTAACAGAGGTTAGCAAACCAATGGAACACAGCGTCAAATCAATCCTCTGCCCAGGGTTCAGAACCAGCCCTCCCAGGAGTCTCTGATGTGCCAGATTCAGGCAGCTTCCCAGTCTCAGTCAGGTCTGCTCTCTCCTCAGTGAAGCAGCCACAGGGCTGCTTCTCTCGGCCCCAGCCCCTTGTTTCAGCAATCTGTTTTTCCCTTCCCCCCAAAGCTAGCTCCATTCCAGTTTGGGTCTTTCCTCCCCAAGGTGCAGCCTCTCTCAGTCAGTCTCCCAGCTGCTCACTATCAGCCCTTTATAAGCCCAGGGTCAGCCTTGCCCATTGGCTGGATTGGGCTCACTTGCTCTGATGGAGGGGTGTAGGATATTGCAGAACACTCTACCCTTGGGGGGGAGGGGGGTCTTTAAACTGTGGTAGGGTCTGAACAGCACCCTGGTCTAGCCCAGAATTTGGAGGCTGCAAAAGATGGTGGCTTCCTGCTCCTGGACCCACATCTGTTGTCACACCACTCTTAGGAGGCACAACTTAGAAATGGACCCTTAGCCATAAAATGGATTTTCAGAATTTCTAAAAGTCGTGAGGCAAACCATGGAGTATGGAACATATTGGGGAGGGGGAAGCCTGGGAGGGAAATGTCAAGTTAATAGTCATGTCAAGTTTTACCACAAACATAAAGTAAACAATCTCCGTCTGAGAATTCCCTTAGAGGAACAGACGCTGAATGCCAAATTATACTAAATGCCAACTGATACATTCTTTGTGGCAGGTCTTCATATTGGACCAAATATTATTTTAGGTGAAATGTAATAATTTAAGACATTTACAGTGTGTCTCATGCTACCAAAAGGCAAGCCAGGACCAATAGGTGCTTTGCACTGATTTTTGCACTGTTTTTACCTCACGCTCATGGACTCAACAGTTCTATTCATTTTCAGATTCAATGATCTGCACCAGCCTGCTCTCAGTGTGACCTGAGGGACATTGGATTGGAGGAGGAGCAGTTGTAAGAGTTTTGCACAATCCCTGCTCTATGCAAACTGGGAATAGGCTCAAAAGCCTGAACACCTCAGGAGATCATCTCTTTGTCACTGCTGGCTGTACTGAGATGTTCAACACATGGCATGGCATAAAAGGATTAAAAGATAGAAACATAGGATGGGCTTTTTCAGAAGCAATGAACACTTCTGTATCATTGGTCCCATGGAAGTCAACACTAAAATCTTTATTTCAGTGGGACCAGTGGTGCAAACACCAAATGTTTCTGAAAATTCTACCTATTATGCATTACAATAGAACCACTTCTGCCTTTGCCTTTTTTCCAGGCTTGTTGGCTTCTGTATCATTTCAGTACAACTCATCCCAGTTTGAAGGTAACCCACCAGACATCTCTACAAATACAAACACATTATAGTTTATTAACATCCCACCTTAGACCTAGATGACATTCAAAACTTTGCTTCACAAGGGTTGTATTAAAAACAAAGAAAATATTTGTACAGGGGCTTATACCCACTGAGCTGCTGACCTCACTATTGGGAGTGGCAAATAGAATTACTATTTGGGACTCTGTGGTTTCCAGTACAGTTACCATGTAGTGAGTGTGATAGAACATGCCCCTGTAGTGTATAATACCCTATACACTATTGCTATAATCTTTATAAAAAATGTAGATCATAAGGTATCACTTAAAAACTCATAATCTGCTGGTCAGTATTGTCCTGATACACTGTGTGTGGCAACATTCTGTGTGGAGTGATAAGATCCCCCTCTAGAATGTTGTTAACACATGCTCCAAACCCTACAGCCCCACCCTGGCTGAAGTCCACAAACAGGTCTGTCCTAAAGAAAGGAATTTGTGCTTGCCTTAATTTGCTTAATAAGCAGTAAACAAGAGTCATCAAGGAGGAAGGGAAAACAAAGAATGTTCAAACAGGTAGAAAAAAACATGGAACATTTTTCCACATAGACTCCTTGTCAGCTGGAAACATAGGTGAACTGAAACTGTAAAAAACAAGGGCAAAGACCCCCAAGGTACCCTTCTCTCTCTCTCTGACCATTGCATTCTCTGCACCTGAGAAAACAAAAAGAAAACAGCTATTGGACTCAGGGAGGGGAATTAATTGTAGTTAACAAACTTGGGTTTTTTTAAAATCTAATCCAGTCTGTTTAAGTTAATGTCTGGATAACTTCATTTGTCGTGATTAACTGGTGCATGTTTTTCCCTTAAAGGAATAGTGAATTGAATATTCCTATGCTGTCAGAGAGAGGGCTGGACAGTGCCTGAGATACATTTCTGGCAGACAGTCTGGGACTGGGAATGTGTCGGGGTCACCCTGCAATATAACCAAAGCTGGTGAGAGCGAGGGTGCAACTGGCAGCTGCAGTTACACCAACACCTCTGGGAGTGACTTGCATGCTGGTGGCTGTTTGTGAGCAGTCTGGGTTGGAAGATATCCCAGGACACAGGGCAGGGATGACACATCTCCTCAGTGGTCTTGATTGTAAGATGGTATGTTTGAAATCTTTCTGCTACTGAAGCCAATGACAAAAATCCCATTGAGCATGTATTGGCTTTGCTCTGGATATCCGAGAAAGCTAAAATCATTTCAAGCAGCCCTGCTAGGACAGCATCTCTGAGGAAGTGACATTCATTAGAATTAGAGCTTTGGTGCAGTACACAAACTGCTCATGCTCGCTATCTCGTCAATTTCAAGTATTGTGTATAGGGTCAAATAAAACATTCACAGGATAAAGCCCACTTTGATTTTTTTTCCCTTTATAACAGTAATTCAGATGCTGTCTGAGGGGGTTACACAACTGTTTTTCACTAAATAAGGGAAATGGCCCATTTTAAAAAAATACTGTGAAAGTAACAGCTCAGAGCATGTGACATGGACAATGTTAGAATAAAATGTATGGAGGGGAAAAGTGCTCGTGGACCTGAATTTCCATGATAATGGCTGTTCCATTTCAAGCAGCCTCCTAATAAGTATGGCTGCATGAAGTAGCTCCTTTGCCCACAGTTTAATTAAATGCCCATTCATTGCTCTATTTTCTATTCATCGGTCGCGAAACTGCAGAACAATGAATGCCAGTGCCACGAAGTTTTGCAGATACATGTGAAAGCAATCTTTCTTTTGTAATATAAAACACCAAAAAGACTATAGAGTTCCCTTTTTATCCCTCAGTGCTATGAAATTAACATCAAAGATTAGAAAATGCAATTCAGTATTTTTGGCAAGTGGCTATTTAGAAAAAGAGTTGAATAGAACTCTGTCTGCATTACATACATTATAATCTAGCAAAGCCAAGCAAATTTTATTTAGTCTCATCCTCCTGTTTCAGGAATCATGATGGAAGAAAACTCTTTCAAAACAGAAGAAAATGTACATGCAAATTTAGTCACAATGCTAAATCCTGTTTACCTTACTCATGTAAAAAAAATCAATAGTAGTTTTGCCAGTGCTGTGCAGCAGGTGGCCTGACTTCTGTATGTGCTTTCAGGATGGTTCTAGCTGATCATGTCAACATGCAGGCAGGGCCAGATTGTAACATCGAGACCCTAAGATGTGTCAAGTATAAGATGCCCTATACTATAAAAAATAATTTATTATTTTCACAAAAAGGACAGTGAATATATAAACACTAATGCTTTATGTTGTCACAGGAAAACAAGCAAGGATATATAATATTTGTATACCATGAATAAGGAAACTTATCCTTTTCATATGAATATGCGAGAAAAACATTGATTAATTTTGTTAGGGAAATACAAAGTTTATCCAGATTATGTAAAATATATTTACAAATGTTTATTCCAATTTAATTTTCACCATGAAACAATGAATTTCTGGGATTTTTCTTTTGCCATACTATAAAAATATGAGTAGTCCCATGGCACTTTAAAGCTTTCATTGGTAAAAAACACTTTGGCTACGTCTACACTCGCGGCTTCTTGTGCAAGACTCCGCAGAGCGTCCACATTGCCCACCCGCTCTTGCGCAAGGAAATTTACAGTACGGCGTGGTAAGAGAGGGTTTCTTGTGCAAGAAGTCTTACGCAAGAAAACGTCCACACTGCCATGTGCGAGCTGTGCTTTTGCGCAAGAGCACCCATGGCAGTATAGATGCTTTCTTGCGCAAGAAAGCATCTATACTGCCATGGGTGCTCTTGCGCAAAAGCACAGCTCGCACATGGCAGTGTGGACGTTTTCTTGCGTAAGACTTCTTGCACAAGAACCCTAGCGCAAGATGTTCTTGCGCAAGAAGCCACGAGTGTAGACATAGCCCTGGTCAGATGCATGGAGTGGGAATCAGAGGTAGGGTGATAAATATATGTACAAGCATATCAAAAAAAGGGAGTTACTTACCAAGTGTAGGACCAGTGTTAACTCGGTATATTCAGTCAGAGTGGGTGTGGCTCACCCCTAGCAGTTGATGGGGAGGTGTGAATACCAAGAGAAGGAAAATTGCCTTTGTACTGAAATAATGATTCTAAGTCCTTATTCAGTCCTTATTTCATCATATTAAATTTGCAAATGAATTTCAGCTTTGTGTTTCTTTTCATAGTCTGGTTTTGAAGGTTTGTTTGTTTGTTTTGTTTTATTTTGTTTTGTTTTATAAACCTGTTACTGAGTGTCCAGGGAGGTTGAAGTATTCTCCTCCTGGTTTTTGTATGTTACCTTTCTTGATATCAGATTTGTATTAATTTATCCTTTTGCACAGAGACCGTCAGGTTTGGCCAATATACATGGCAGAGAGGGTATTGCTGGCACTTGATGCTATATTTCACATCAGTAGATGTGCAGGTGGATGAATCCCTGATGATGTGGCTGAAGTGTTTAGGTCCTGTGATGGTGTCCCTTGTGTGTGTGTGTGTGTGTGTGTGTGTGTGTGTGTGTATGTATATATATATATATATATATATGGACAGAGTTGGCAGTAGGGTTTGTTGCACGGGTAGGTGAGTTCCTGGGTGAGTCTTTCTTCAGTGTGGTATCTGGCTCCTGGTGAATATTTGCTTCAATTTGGGGGGCTACTGTGGACGAGGACTGGCCTGCCTCCTGAAGTCTGTGAGAGTAAGTGATCATTTTCCAGGCTAGGTTGTAGATTGTTAATGATGCACTGTGTATAAAAATACAGTGAAATTCCCAAAGCTGATGGAGGGAAGCCAGCACACATATATCCTGCTCAAGATCCACTCGACCCAAGTCCAAAAGAAGATCATCTGCAAATTCAGTCATACGCAGTGCATGAAGCAGAAAGAGGCATGCACACTAAAAAACCACAATTATACATATGTACCAATCAAAAGAAGAAAACATACTGACAATTAAGGAAATGAAGAAAAACAGGAGAAAGTGAAGAAAAAGTAGTGAAGGCACTACATAACTGAACTTGCTGGAACATGACTAAAAGATGGCAGCCTTCCTGCTATTACCAGCCAACGATGTTGCTATACTTGAAAGCACTCCTAGGATGGGCCCCACATGAGTATGAGCTTGGCAGGATTGCTTCATAACACTACCATCTGTGACCTCACAATTTTCCCGATTTTATCGACAGTGAGATTTATTTATTTATAGATATATATTTATTAAATAAGCTGTTAAGGATTTATTAAATAAGTCAGAATTTTACCAGTAGTAGCTGGCCAACAAAACACTGCCTAAGGAGACTGATAGCAGAGTTATCTGTAGAAATACTAGTTTAACATGTGCAATTATTGTTTTTTTTCTCAGTCCTGGCCTCCCACCTGTCAATTAAGAACAGTTAGTGAAGGGTAAGTGTATTTTTGTAGCCAGATGTGCATATTTTGTCACATTTGAATGAAAATGCCTTGATTTAGAGAGACTCTTTCTTCCATACATCCTTTATTTATTTATCACCTTTCCTAAAATTTGAAATAGAATCAGTTTTTCTTTTTAGAGGCTCCTCATAGTGTGAGGCACTAAAGCGGTCTTTTCGTTAGTTTATGCCTTAATCCAGCACTGGGTACAGGTATAGGCTGCAAAGGCAGTCTGTAACAATGGCATGCCAGGGCTCTATATTTAAAGTATG